AGAGAGAGAGAGAGAGAGAGAGAGAGAGAGAGAAAGAGAGAGGAAACAATAAGAGAGACTGAGATGGACAGAGGAACAAAAGGAAAACCTGACATTTGAATTTACAGCCAACTGCTATCAATATCAGACTATGACTCGGGAACACACCTGGCAAGATCACATTGATAGAGACCACTGAAAATATTGATTAACATTTCTGCAATCTAAAGTTAAAGCATGACTCAGTACACAACAGCTTTTAGACTGTCCACACAAACAACAACAAAAGGACCACAAACTCACATACGTTTTTCTCTTTCATAAATTTAGATTTAGTAAGAGTTTTTTTTACGACACTAGCAACACAATTAGGTATAATAATAATAATACAAATGCTGAAGATAAGGTGTTACTAGTGACTCATGTCTTCTCTATTTAACGAACATACCACATTCAAGAGCTTGTCGATTTTTGTTCAGGATTGTGTGCACTGTGGCCAGGAGCCACATGAGAAACTCAGCAGCATCCTGCTGCCTCATTGGCTCGCCCGGAGGTGTGACGAGGCTGGGGTTCAACACCGACGTGGCTTTACGAAATCTCGACGCGTTGAATGTTTTGTAGTCTGAACACGAAGGGTCCACAGTTAAAATGTCTAACAGTTCAGCCAAAGAGGACAAGAGTTCTGACTCGGCGACTGTACATTCAAGTTCTTTGGCAGCGTCTGCCGTTAGGCACTCCACTAGGAATGGTCCGCGGGCTAAACACTGGACCACAGAGTTGATAAAACACATGTTCTGACCATTGTTCACAAGGCCCACTGGCTTGGGAACAGAAGGACCGAACCCCATGACGTTCATAAATTTCGATTTAATGGAGGAGGATGATGGGAGAGGGCGAGGCAACAACTTGCCACCCACGTTTGGTCTGAGAGATCGGCGCTGCAGATTGGCTGTAGGCAGAACGCTACGCCTGTCCGCCGCCAGGTCTGAGCTGTGGTGAAGAGAGGAGACGCCACTGTCGTACTGACTGCGGCCCATGGTGGTCGCGGCGGATGGGATGTACTGGTGGCTCTCCAAGGGGGGAACACTGTTCACGTTATTCCAGTTCTGGCTGATCTGACCACAGGTGGCGCCACCGCCGCTGTGGTGGTACAGCCCCCGGCTCTGTTTGACGGCGTCATGATACGACGCAGAGGTCGGGCTCATGGAGTAGGTGGGCCTGTCCTGTCCCGGCACGACCGTCGCGTTGGGCGGGTAGTGCAGGCTGCCCTGTTTGTTGAAGAAGGGGAAGTTGAAGCCGTAGCCTTGCTGCTGGTTGTGCCCGTTGAACGTGTTGAGCTCGGCGACGGTGTTGTGGTTGAGGCCTGCCATGCCAAGAGCCTGCTGCTGCAGCTGTTGTTGCTGCTGTTTCTGTCGTTCGATCTGCTTCATGTTCTCCTCGTGCTGTAAGTGGTTCTCCCAGTGTGCTCGCAGGTTGGCCACGACATTGGCCAGGCCTGTGCGCCCCAGCAGCTGCGTGTACACAAAGGTCACCCCCGTCAGCAGGAGGAGCAGGTAGGGTACATGGTGCAGGGAGTAGAGTAGCAGGCATAGCACGCTCAGACCCACAGACTCGTACAACCAAATGGTTCGCTTTTCCTGCTCGTTCCTGAAAAGAATATTTTTTAAAAAATCATAAATGATGCTGTGCTCAAAGGTTTATCAAGAGTAGTAGTAGTAGTTTTTAAAATCATTGGCCAAGATTTATCTTTCTCTCATTCCCTCCCATCAACTGGGGCATGTGATATTTGCTCGCACCCCCCCCCCCAAGATTCGTCAAGATCCCTCTGAGTCGAAAACCTAAGAAAAAAAGCGAGGGATGGGCCAAATTGAATTCTGTTCGGTAATTCCGAACAAAATTCAGAGAAATTCAAGAACTGTTTGAACAGGGAACTCGCTGAGAAGGCCTCAGGGGCACTGATTTATCATAGGGAGAATAGGGTACCTGAGTATGTCTCAAATAGGAGTCAGAGATCCCAATTCGAGGACGGCAGAGAATTTCAAACATCGAATGTTTTACGTCTGGGTTTAGCAACCACCCCACAGGGACAAAAAGATAGAATTACAAAAAAACCTCAACCACTCAGCATTAGAAAATGTAATATAAATGCTATAAATGCACTATAATAAATGCTATAAATACATGTACACGCTTGAAAACACCCCTCCCCCCCTCACGCACACACACACACACACACACACATACACACACACATACACACACATACATACACGTGCGCGTGCAAAGGCACACATACGTGCACGCACACACACAAGCATACATTCATACTCACACAAACAGACACACAGATATACGTAGACACATACACACACACACACAGAGGATACTTCAATTTCACCTGGTTGTACAACAACAATCCCTCTCACACACTGAACACACACACAAACACACACACACACACACACACACACACACACAAACACACACACACTCAGATAGATAAGGTGTTCATTAGCGCACAATACAAAAAAGACCAACAATAATTTACACACACTCACACACACACAAGCACTTTCTCTCTCTCTCTCTCTCTCTCACGCACACACACACACACACACACACACACACACACACACACACACTAACTCATGATGCTATCTGCAAGGTCAT